TTACTGGGAACCGGCAGTTAGCATAATGGCTATGTCGCTGGACTCCCACGTAGTCGACCGCGGTTTGCGTCCCGGACTCGGTGGCTTAAAACTCGTGTGTGATGCATGTGCGTGCATGCCCAAGATCCCGAGAGGAGAATGGAGGAGAAGGGATTGTGGCGTGACCATCCCCTCTGGGGGGTGATTTCTTGCTTTCTGTCTCTATGTCTCTCTCTGTCTGTCTGGTGAGCGCACGCACCCTATAGCAAAAACCTCTCCAAAAAAAAAAAGAAAAAGCATTATTTAATTAATTTTATTTATTCATTCATTTATTTTTTTTAATTTGACCAGAGAGAGACACACAGAGACAGAGAGGGAAAGTGAGAAAGTAAGCTACCAGGTCTGGGACTCAAACTGGTCAGCCATGTGGGAGTGTCTAGTGCCTTAACCTCCATGCCACTTGCTGGCTCCTGCAGGTGACTTTTGACGTGTGCTTTTCTCCGATGTTTTGGGGCCAAATAAAGAGCCCTAGTCCAGGACTGGATGGAGGCACAGTGGTGAAATGCAGCATTCTATGATGTCGATCCACATGGGAGGGTTAGAGGTTCGCATCCTAAGACCTCCCTGGGTATGCCAGACATGTGTGCCCATTATCCGGGGCTGGCAGAGGCTGGGGATGGACTGTAGCATCAAAGCCCTGATTGGAGTATGTCTCTAAACAAACAAACAAACAAACTTTAAAAAAGGAGCCTCAGTCCACAGGGTGCGTATCCACTAAGTCCTGTACCGGGGGCCTACTGGGCTGGGCTGGGCTGCGCAATGGGTACCAGACATCTCCCCTGGCCAGCTCATCCCCAGGCCCAGATCTGCACTGGTTTCCATCTCTCCCTGACCTACTAAGGGCCAGACACACACAAAAAGGCTTCCCTTCATTTGTCCTCATTCGAGTGAGGTCCAGGGGCCTCAGTTTCTGTTCTGGCTCGGCCCTAATCGTACCTTCATTTGGGTCCCACTTTCCATGTCTTTTCTGAGAGAGGCTGCACCCTATGATTCAAGAACCGGAACAAGAGGAGGAAAGTCCTCCCTCCCCTACAGAAGTGTGGGGACCACACTGTGTTCTCTGCCCTCAACTTATTTATTTTTTTTTAATGTGCTGTAGGGTATGTGCTCTTGCTGAAGAGAGACATGGTGAGAGAGAGAGAGAGAAAGTGAGGAAGCAGCCCTGGGGGAGATGGCCATGGTGCAATCCCTTCTCCATTCTCCTTTCTGGATTATTGGGCATGGTGTGCCTGGCATAATTTTCAAGCTGTCAGGTCTGGGACTTGAATGACACTGTTGGCTAGGTGAGATCCAGCCACCTTAACCTTTACGACACCAGCTGGCACCCCAACTTGCTTTTTCATTGGAGCTCCTGGGCAATTGATGAATTCCAGGGTCTCAAAGGTTTCCTCTCCCTGGGAACTCACGTGGTGTCAGGGGAGACGGACATGTCAGTAGACAGGGCCACGAGATGTAGCATGAGCGGTGAGGTAGTTGGAGCTTGTTGGAGATGTGAGGGCAGCCGAGTGCTTGGTCTTGCTCCTGCAGCCCCGCTCCCACACAGCAGACAGCTCGCTCTTCCAGAACCGCAGCTGTCCTCGTTGTCTGCGGGCTCACTAGCTCTGTGATCGATTTAAATCTGTTTCTGTGGCTGATCAGGCCCTGCATGACTTAGCTCCAGTCACCTCATTCTTGCACTGTCTGCTCCATCCATGTTGAATTTGTTTCTGTTTACCCCGTAACCACCTTCCAGGCCTCGGCCTTCCCACGTTCTTGTCCTTGTGCCTGCATGCAGTGGTCCCTCCAGAGCTTTCTCTCCCATGCTCGTGCTGCGACCCATGTTCCACTAAGACGTAGGACACCAGGAAGGCAAGGGTGGCTGTCCTGGAGCTGCCTGCCTTGGGGGTAGAACACGTGTGACTCTCCTCCTGGGGCCGTGATTTTGGCATTTCTACTCCAGCTCTTGGTGGTTTCTAACTGCCCTTCTTTGTGTTGCTTTATCATGAAGGGGAAAGGAGGCGGATGGGATAGTGATTGACTGGGAGGAGGAACAGGGAGGGTCTCTGGCCATAGAGGACATTGGTGGCCTCCTGCCAGCACTATGATTGTTGGTGAGTTGAGAGACGGCAGAGGCATGACAAGAGCGAGCAGGCCACCCTGGACAAAACATGCACAAGCGGCCTGGGACTGGAGACTCTGTGTCCCTGGGCAGGACGTTTCCAGCCACTGTGAGAAGTGAGGACAGAGATTCCATTCTCAGAAGCAAATCAGCTCCAAGGTGTTTTCAGCCTCCTGATGGTAAATCTGTCTCCCCATGCTCCAGGAGTCTTTTGTGTGCGAGGCTCCAGGTGGCACTGGGGATGTCAAGGTGAATGGAGCACAGACACCATCAAGGTGACTGTCTCAGCTGCAGTCCAGGTGCTGATAGAGCAGTGCTGAAGGAGGGGACCTCTTCAGGAGGAGATGACATTTGATCTGAGTCTTGAAGGGTTCGTGAGATTTGGGTACCTAGGAAGGAGAGGAAGGGGATGTCAGGTAGAGAAGACAGCAAACTCAGGAAAGCTTGGGGCACCGACCAGGAGTGGTTGAGGTGGTGTGGACCAGGTTCAGAGAGCTCAGAGCCACACCTGCAGGTGCCTTTGCATTGGGAGGCATTGCCAGGCTTTGAGCAGAGGTGTGAATTGATCAGGGTTACACTCTAAGAGGCTAGTGTCACAGTGGTATGTGTTGGGGATGGGCTGGAAGGAGAGAGCCTGAAGGTGGAAAACCACGGCAGAGGGCGAGTCATCAGTAACCCAGGCACGTGGTTACCAGGGCTGTCTGTCTATCTATTTATAAAGTTTTGCCAGAGAATACATGCAGTCTCCAGAGAGAGACAGGGAGAGAGAAGAGAGGGAGAAAACACCCCCGATGGGACGTGGTCATGCTGCAATCCTGGCTCCATTTCTCCACCCTCCTGGATTTGGAGCATGCACACACGTGCTCTGGCGTTTTTCTAGCCACTGGGGCAGGACTCAAATTGTGTGGTCGGCTGTGGAGGATCTGGCTCCCTTAATCACTAGGCCACAGGGCTGAGCCACTAAAGCTTTATTATTTTTTTTAAACTTTGTTTGTTTGTTTGTTTATTTAAATATGACCCAGAGGGACAGAGTGAGAAAGAGAGAGAGAGAAAGTGAGAAAGCAAGACTCGAGGTCTGGAACTCAAACTGTGGTCCACCATGTGGGACTGCAGTGCCCTTAGCTACCATGCCACCTGCTGGCCCCCCACCAAGGCTTTTTCAACTGAGGAATAGAGGAAAAATGAATGGTGAGACAGAGGACCTGTGGTGAACTTCAAAGGTGAACACCATGAGGACAGATATTCAGCCTAATGCCAAGCACAAAGTAGCTGCCCAGTAAGGAAGAAAGATATCGTGAAGGAGGACCAATCGGTGATAGCCAGTGACAACCCAGGGGCCAGGAGCCTGGGAGCCTGGGAGCCTGGGGACTGTGAGTAGAGTGGGGAGCCCAGGGAGAAGAGCAGGCTGGGTTAGTTCTGTTGAAGGGTGGGAGTGGCCCTGGATATGTGGGCACATTTATCCTGGCATAGGTCCCTGTACCTGGGAATGGGAGCCCAGGGGACTGGCTCCGTGCATTCTGAGGCTGGGGTTAAGGTCCCTATGAGACCTGCTCCCATTTCTCTGAGGGATGCCAGCCCTTTGGCTTCCATTTCTACCTTCCTAGAAGTCACACCCAAGGAAGCCCACCAGCACAAGGTTTCATGTTGATAAGAGTAGCTGGGATTTCTCAAGCACTTACTGTATATGTATTTTAATTGCCAGAGGGTACATGCACTCATATGAGAGAGAGAGGAGTGAGAGAGATGGAGCAGGGGCGAGGGGGAAGAAAGCATACCCCCCCAACCCCCCGCGGTGGGATGTAGTTACATTGCAATTCCTTCTTCTCCAATTTTCTATCCTGTCAGGATTTGGGACATACAGGCACATACATCCAATGTGTTTTTTAAGCCACCGGGGCTAGGATTCAAACCATGGTTGCCCATGTGGGATCTAGCTCCTTTAATTACATGGCTACAGGGCCAGTCTAAGCACTTAGTATGTTCTGTGTTCTTGTCTGTCTCCTTTGATTTTAATGTCCTGTAAGTTTGGCTTAATCACCTTAGCTTTTCAGTTGTGGAAGCTGAAATTCACATATCTGTTAAGTAGTGGGGTTAGGATTTGATTCAGATGACTCGCCTCAGAGCCTTCATCTGAACCTCTGTGGTACAACCATCCACAAGAGGATGGCCTACCCACCTGTCACAGAAGAAAGGAAGCCTGATGTCTTCCTGACCCCGGAGGAAACCTGTTTGCATCAGGTGCTTGGTATTGAAGGGCAGTCTTCATTTCATATTCAGGGGTTGGGAAGGACCGTGGAGATGACTGGTTCGTTTCACAGGCGAGGAACCAGGGCTCTGTGCTTGCACGCGTGCTGTGGGTGACAGGTTTTGGCAGTTGAACGGTCCATGGTGCGATGTGCCTGCGTGGGTGTTCCAGCACACACTGGGGCCGACTGCCTCGGGCAGGCAGGTGTTTCACCTGGCCCTGTCTTCCCCCTGCCGAACTTGAGGGGCAAGGACCCTGCTTGGCTCGGCCTCACTCTCTTTCCTTCTCATCCTTCTCCCAGATTGACAAGTATCTTTATGCCATGCGGCTCTCCGATGAAACTCTGATAGATATCATGACTCGCTTCAAGAAGGAGATGAAGAATGGCCTCTCCCGGGATTTTAATCCAACAGCCACAGTCAAGATGTTGCCAACGTTTGTAAGGTCTATTCCCGACGGTTCTGGTGAGTCTCTCGCCCAGAGATTGAGCTCTGAGGACTGAATGTTCAGGGAAATCGTCCTTCTAACTTTCATTTGTTCTTTCTTGATTCCCTTCCTCCCTCATTCATTCGTTGCCCATTCCATCCATCTGTTCTCCCATGCATCCATCCACGCTGCCAGCCAGCCAGCCAGCCAACATGTGTCTATGAGCATCTGCCGTGTGCAGGCCCTCGGGACACCGTGCTGGCTGAGGCCAACCTGCCCTCCTTGACCTGACCACTGGCTTGTGATACTTTAGAAAGTACGGCATTCAGAGGCCTTGCAGGTGTGGTGTGGGCTATTCTTACGTCTCCAGATCAAATGAAGGATTGATTGTAGGAGAATCTCTTCATCAGGGCACCAAGGCCTCTCTCCTGTCGGGACCCCAGATAAGCAGTCATCCTAGTGGCCAGGCAGGTCTCGGATTTAGAGTGGAAATCCAGTTTCCAATTGAACAAGGTAGACCCCAAAGCAGAGGCATGGAGAAGGGATGTAAAATTGAAAAGACAAAAAAAGAAAAATATCCTCAGTTTGCATTTCCTTGGCTCTTGCCCCAGTAGGGAGTCGGGGGGAACTCCCTGAGGGTTGTCAGTACCCCCTTCCCAGAGGAGTGGCATCAGCCCCTGTACTCGGCAGAATAGAGGCTAGGAGGGCGTGCCGTTCTGTCTGGCCGACACACAGTTAACCATCGGCCGAGGCGGGTGCTTGCCCATCCCAGCTTGGAATCCCCCCTGTGAGCCGTATTCTGTGCTCCAGGTTGGGGTTCGAACTTGCTTTGTGCCGTAGAGGGATGGAGATTATGAGGCACACCCCGCGTTGTGAGTGCACACCCTGTGAGTACGGCCCTCACGCCCTCCTGCTCTTTCTTCCTTCATTGGAGGCTCGTTTAAAGTGGTGGTTTAGATCATCTGCGTGGCCTGCAAAGCAGGCTTCAGGAGAGTGGCAGCTGCTGCGGCCGATGTTCACGTGGCACAGCAAGTGCATGACTTGTCGGAGCAGGCTGGCTGAGTGGTTGGGTCCTCTGCCTGCCCCAGCCGTTCCAAGTCCTCAGTGAGATCCAGACACCAATGACGGGCATGGACTATTTTCTCTGTGGCTGTGGGTGGGTTTACCTTATGCACACACATGGCATTTATACCTTCCATGTTTCTCTGGCTATTTAAAAATCTACTCCACCTCCATCTGTTTGTTTTCATTTAGTTGCTGGTTACTAGTGACTTAGTTTTTTTAAGAACTGCTAGAGAGAACTTCTGGACACCAGTGACTATGTTGTGCCCTGAATGTGTTTTAATGGCTCTGGTAGGGGAAGGTGACCTCTGTAGGTCGCTCCTGCTTTTTCCCAGCCTTGGGTGGCACCCATATGCAGAAGCAGTGGAGCCTTCAGGGTTAGCAGGGTTCTGTAGCAGAGGTGCGGCCATGCTGCTTCCAGCTGAGAGAAAAGGAAGAGGAGGTGCCGTGGATGTGGACAGCCCCCCCACTCCCAGAGAGCACCTCCATTGGCTTTGCTTGGGAGAGCTCAGACTGGTCCCTGATCCCTGTGAGGCACCTGATCCTGTGTGGCAGGCCCAGGCAGACACACCAGAGGAGATGCCGTCCCTTCCTGACTCTGCCCTCAAGCCAGCTCCATCTCTCAGGACCTAAGTGAGCAGGGGTGCAGGGTCACTCTC